GTCAACCCCACAGACGCATTCATATATTTTAACATGCTGTTCATTCAAAACGGGAATTTTCTCAAGTATAAATTAATATTATAATATATTAGCATATTGTGTATAAATAGGCATAGGTTAGGTTAGGTGTTTAGGTTCTGTTGGTGATTATTTGTATTTGTAGTACGTGGGTGAAGCATTTACAGCGTTGTGGTTCGAACAAAATTCGTCAGTGAAGCACTTGTTCCGGATATGTTCGAACGTCATCAGTTGTGAGTCGCAGCCCGTCCTCCAAACAAAAGATCCAAAAGTGATTCCATGCACCCACCAAACCCCCTGTTTATGAATGAAAAACGGTTTACACACGACTCACAATTGCTGACGTTCGAACATATCCGGAACAAGTGCTTCACTGACGAATTTTGTTCGAATCACAACGCTATAAATGCTTCATCCACGTACTACAAATACAAATAATCGCCAACAGAACCTAAACACCTAACCTAACCTATCCTATGCCTATATATACACAATATGCCAATATATTATAATATTAATTTATACTTGAGAAAATTCCCGTTTTGAATGAACAGCATGTTAAAATTTATGAATGCGTCTGTGGGGTCGACCGCTGGATGTAATGGACCTGAGTCGAGGACGGGTTGTGAGTCGTGTGTAAACCGCTTTTCATTCATAAACAGGGGGTTTGGCGGGTGCATGGAATCACTTTTGGATCTTTGTTTGGAGGACGGGCTGCAACCCATCCTCCGAATTGACAGTACAATTTAATACTAAGTACACTTTCTGTCATAAACAGTGCATAATTGCACTTATGTGGCTGTTACATTTACCAAACTCCCTCCCCCGATTTAATTCTCCTCGTTTTCTGTCAAGACACTCAGAATTTTAGGATTAAGTTTTCAATTTCAATTAGCAATTCACAAGTTTTAAATATCAGGAATTTCTTTTTCATGTTTATTAAACAATTTAGATTTTATACAAAATTTTAAAATATCCTGAGTTACTTTATAATTTATTGATATATTTTAGTTTTGTTTTATTAGTTTTATAAAACTGTAATATCAATATAGCTATAGGTTAAGTACTAATTGTAATTAAGAAGCAATAAAATTACCGAAACGCTTTGCGTAATAGTGGCTTTAGGCATTGTATGTACTAGCTCTACCTATAAGTCAACCAATCCTTGTAAAAATTTATTGTATGTATGTACCTTACCTAAATAAAATTGTATTGCATTGTATTGTATTGTATTATCTTCAAAAACTAAGACGGTTAAGTGAGGTTGTGGTTTTCTATTCAGTTTTTCAGGTAAACTCAAATATTCACAATATATTTGACTACGATTTAATACTAAGTGAAAATAAGTACAATTCCTAACTGCTATGAATAGTACATAATTGCACTTATTTGTCTTTTTACATTTACCACCCCATTTTTGGATGTTGTTGCTATAGATTCAGCTACTCAGAACAAGTTCCAAGTAGCACGGACTATGGTGAGCCCATAGTGGACTTACCTGGCACAGGAGCGGTGCGGGGCCATTTTTGGATGTTGTTGTTAAAGATTTAGCTATTCAGGACGAAGTGTCCATGTAGCACGGGCTATGGTGAGCCCATAACATTTTTGGATGTTGTTGTTGTTATAGATTCAGCTACTCGGAACAGGTTCCAAGTAGCACGGGCTATGGTGAGCCCGTAACTTACCTGGCACAGGAGCGGGGCAAGTAGCAAGGGCTATGGTGAGCCCGTAGTGGACTTACCTGGCACGGGAGTGGTGCCGTCTCTGTCATGACACATTTTTGGAGGACGGGCTGGCATATATAGGCCTAGGTTAGGTGAGGACAGGCTGGCATATATAGGCCTAGGTTCTGTTGGCGATCATTTGTATTTGTAGTATGCAGGTGGAGCATTTACAGCGTTGTGGTTCCAACAAAAGTCGTAAGTGAAGCACTTGTTCCGAAAGTGTTCGAACGAAGTCAGTTGTGAGTCGTGTAAAAAAAAAGTGTGTAAACCGTTTTTCATTCATAAACAGGGGGTTTGGCGGGTGCATGGAATCACTTTTGGGTCTTTGGGGGACGGGCTGCTACGACTCACATCTGATGATGTTCGAACACTTCTGGAACAAGTGCTTCGCTGACGACTTTTGTTTGAACCACAACGCCGTAAATGTTTCACCCACATAATACAAACACAAATGATCGCCAAGAGAACCTAAACACCTAACCTAACCACTGCCTAAATATGCACAATATGCTAAAATAAAACAACATTAATTTATATTTGGGAAAATTCCCATTTTGAATGAAGAGCATGTTAAAATTGATGACTGCGTCTTTGGGGTCGACCGCTGGATGGAATGGCCTTGGTCTGAGGACGGATTGCAGCCTTGGCACATTTCCTTTCACCTAATGTCTCTGTTCACTAAGCAGTAAGTAGGTACTCAGGAGCTATAGTCAGCTTGTTGTGGGGGTGCATCCTGGGCGGGGTCAGTAATTCGACCTGAGGGAGTGGACCTTGACATAATCTGATTTACCTGAGGACCATCAACCCTAGTGACCTCGATGAGGACAGTAAGCCGGCGGCTTGTCTAAATCTAAATATTTTAGATTTAGTGTTAACTAACATAAAAACACAAATTAATGACATCGAAATAGGGAATGAGCTAGGGAACAGTGATCACAAAGAAATCAGATTTAGCATAGAATGAAATAAATCTGTAGGAGAAAATTCTGTTAAAGTGCCAGATTTTCGAAAAGCTGATTTTAATAGCTTAAGAATTTTTTGGGGTCAAATAGATTGGAAAGTCTTGGCCATGGGGGTGGCCCGGTCTTGGAGCGAGACGTGAACCCAGTGAAAGGTGACGTAAAAAGGATTTCGATGTGGATTCAAAATATAACTTATTTGAAAATATTCTAAGCAAAGCACAGGAATGTAGGATAAAATACAAATTGAATAGATCGAATACTAATGACCCAAAATGGGTAACAAAGGATTTGAAGAACCTTATAGGTAAAAAGAGAGCGTGGTACAAAAGGATTAAGAATGGGGACGTCAGTTTAGAACAGAAATTCGTACAACTGGTTAGAAATGTTAAAAAAGAGATAAGGAAAGCAAAAAGAAACTAAGAAGTTCACATAGCAGGGCAAGCAAAGACAAGTCCTAAAGGGCTTTTTCAGTTATATCGAACAAAGATTAGGGAAAGGATAGGTCCATTTAAAACTGAGACAGGTCAGATAACGGATAATGACGACGAGATGAGTAGTATTTTTAATAAATATTTTATCTCTGTATTTACTAAAGAGGAACTTAACAATATGCCTTCATTAAAGTATAAATTGTGATGAAAAAAATAAAAAAATGAAAAAAGGGAGGGAACATGGCAGAAAAATAGCAAAAATACAATTTGGTTAACAAACAGCATTGTTTAAAATAGAAGACATGGGTTGACATTTTGGGGGTGAGGTAGGTTACATGGAGTTAATTAGGTAGTACTTAGTTTTATCTTAAACTGGTTGGGAGAGGTACAGTCTTTAACATAATTAGGAAGGTCATTCCACATTCTATGTCCCTTGATTTGTAAAGCATTTCTAGTTTGATTAAGTCGTACTCTTGGAACATCAAATAAGTATTTGTTTCTGGTGTGGTGCTCATGGGATCTGTTACAACCTTCTAGGAAGCTTTTACGGTCAGGATTGAAATTACAGTTCAGCATTTTATATATATAAAATACACATGAGAGGATGTGCAGTGACTTAATATCTAACATATTCAGAGATTTGAATAAGGGTACCGAGTGATGTCTGGGGCCAGAGTTAGATATTGTCCTAATAGCAGCTTTGTGTTGAGTAATTAGAGGACGTAAATGATTTTGGGTAGTAGAACTCCAAGCACAAATACCATAGTTGAGATAAGGATAGATGAGAGAGTAATAGAGTATCACCAGGGCAGGGCGAGGTACATAATATCTGATCTTAGAAAGAATGCCAACAGTTTTTGAAACTTTTTTTGATATATTTAGAATGTGTCCCTGGAAATTCAGCTTGTGGTCAATGCGAACGCCAAGGAATTTACCATCTACTTTGTTACAAATTTGGGTATTGTTTATCCTGAGATTTATTTGATTTGAGGATTTATTGCCAAACAAAATATAGAAAGTTTTGTCAATATTGAGGGTGAGTTTGTTGGCAGTTAGCCAGTGATGGACTTTATTTAGCTCAGTATTCACTGTAACATTTAGAGCAAGGGGATCAGGACTGGAGTAAATGAAGGTCGTGTCGTCAGCAAATTAAATTGGTTTGAGATGTTGGGAGGCATATGGAAGGTCATTAATGTAGATGAGAAACTATTAAGTAAATTAAGTTCTTAAGAGAGCTTAATTCCTGTTGGAGGAGGTCGACTCTGGTAGACAGATCTTGATTATTCTGAGCATGGCTGTAGCCTCACCTTGCAGGTTCATGATTAATGTTGACTGCTCTCGGATTACTGCCATTTGTTCTTCATGTATTTGGGTTAATAACCTGAGCCATGGGTTATCAGCAAAGCGCCTGAAGTCAGAACAAGGGGCGGCAGCTCGTTTAAGTTGATCCATACGGTTACATAATTGTTTCATGGCCCGTGTCACCGACAACACGTGTCAACACTCTCCCACTACACATAAGAGGCATAATTGGCCGGCCTCTCACACTGTTAAAGAGAACTCAACATCACCTCTAAAGAACCTGATCAACCAGGCTGTGATTTATACATCAGGCTGCGAGCAGCCACGTCCAACAGCCTGGTAGACCAGACGACCAACCGGTAGGCCTGGTCAGAGACTGGGTTACGGGGCCTTTGATCCCTGGAACATCTACAAGGTAGGTAGGTAGTGCTATAGTGGTTGCTACTAGCCACATAAATCTTTGCAAGGTTACTTAACTCACAGTGGCTCTATTCCAGCACCCCACTGGTGCCTCCTGATATAATTAATACCTGAGTGTTAATTGAGATGTTCTCCATCCCCAGGGCCCACAAAAGCATGTATCACGGGCTGGGCTATGGCACCTTCATGTACCTGCAGGCTATCATGACCTTCGACCCGGTGAGTCACACATTGCCTCACGCAGGTCTGTCTAATTACCCAAAGCTACCAAAGCCTCCTAGCATTATGTAAGTAATGAAGAAATATGACATATTTACTCACTATAATGTTGGTGCTGAATGTTGAACATGAAAAACATATTTTTACTCTGAAATAATATAATTTGATAAAGAAATTAGGTGAAACACGGTGGCAGGTCGACAACCTAAGCGACAATGTTTTGGCTTTGGGTAATTAGATGGACCCAATTTCATTATAAAATTATATTATTTCAGAGTAAAAATATGTTTTTTCATGTGCTACATTCAGCACCAGCATTACAGTGAGTAAAAATATCATATTTCTTCATTACTTGTGTAATGCTAGGAAGCTTTGGGTAATTAGAAGGACCGCCTCATGCTTATTACTGCAATAATAATGATCATTATTACAATATTAATATTATATTATTAATCATTAAGCTTGTTTATAAAATAATAATTATGATTATAATTATATTATTAGCTGCATTATTATAATTTATCTATTTTGTTGTTTTAGAAAGACATTGAAGTGGCTATAGATGCACTGAAGCAGAGCGTGGAAGTGTGTAATCGATATAGACGTAAGAATACTTTAGGAGAGTCATTAGGCAAGATGGTCAAGAAGGTCGACTACAATTTATTTACCAAAGGTAATGGCTGATACTTTATAGATTTATCCCATTAGAAAGTAGTTTTTTCTCCCTATGTTACGGCTCAGTCCCTGAGCCCATTATGTGCCTCTGTAACCCTTTCCACTATCACCCACAAGATGGGTATGTGGTGCATAATAAATGAACTAAACTAACTGTTACGTGTATTTATTTATTTATTTATGCATATACAAGAAGGTACATTGGGATTGTGAGGATACATAATATGGTAATTACAATCTTATAAAGCCACAAGTGTGTAGATATGCGTAAGAATACTTTAGGAGAGCAGCGTGGTCGGGCAGGTCCTTAATCTAAGAAAGTTTTGAGCCCAGTAGGTAAATACTTGCAAAATTTACTGTTACGTGTAAAATTTATGCATATACAAGAAGGTACATTGGGATTGTGAGGATACATAAATGGTAATTACAATCTTATAAAGCCACTAGTATGCGCAGCGTTTCGGGCAGGTCCTTAATCTAAGAAAGTTTTAAGTAGGTAAATACTTGCAAAATTTATAAAAAATGATAACAGTTACAAGGCAAGAAAAAAAAAAGATGAGAGAAAATTGTAGGTATATTAAAGGACATAGGTAGCTCAGATTGATTGCAATGACAGCTTGAATGGTAGTTGACGAAAAATTGGTAGTCACAATACAGCATATGGCTAGCACATAAAAGAAGACAGCAATGAACACAATGATAAGGTTGTTTGGGTTAAGTACATAAAAATTGGAAGATTGGGTAACACTAGGTACAGAGCAAATTTAAAGCTCAGTGTAGGAAACTAAGAAGATGAAATAAGGTACTTTTTGGTTTTGCTTTTAAATAAGGCAAAAGTTTGACAGCTTTTCAATTCACTAGGGAGTGAGTTCCATAGACTGGGTTCCTTTATTTGCATGGAGTGTTTACACAGATTAAGTTTGACTCTGGGGATATCAAAGAGATATTTATTTCTGGTGTGGTGATAATGGGTCCTATTACATCTGTCCAGGGAGAGTTTCAGAGCAGGATTTGCATTTAAGAACAGGGTTTTGTAAATGCAGTGGTAGACCCCATGCACAGATACCATAATTAAGATAGGGGTAGATTAGTGCATAATATAGTGAGAGGAGAGCAGAGTTAGGAACATAATATCTTATTTTAGAGAGTATACCAACTGTTTTAGAGACTTTCTTAGTTATGTGTTGAATGTGGGTGTTGAAGTTGAGTCTCTTGTCTAGGAATAGGCCAAGAAACTTGCCATCATTTTTATTACTGATGTTAATATTGTCTATCTGTAGCTGAATTGCATTTGATGATTTGCTTCCAAATAAGATGTAGTAAGTCTTTTCTATGTTTAATGTTAGTTTGTTAGTTGACATCCATAAGTGAACTTTTTTTAATTCATTATTCACAACATTATTTAGTGTATGTGGGTTGGGGTCTGAATAGATAAGGGTAGTATCGTCAGCAAACAATATAGGTTTTAGAATATTAGAGACATTAGGCAGATCATTGATTTATATAAGAAATAGAAGAGGTCCTAAGATACTGCCCTGTGGCACTCCAACGGTAATTCGTAGAGTGGAAGAAGTTGTATCATTGATGGTTACACATTGGTGTCTGTCACTAAGATAGGATTGGATGTAGTCAAGGGCAAGGCCTCGAATTCCATAATGTTGGAGTTTAAGTAAGAGGTATTTGTGATTAACAGTATCAAAGGCTTTCCTTAGGTCAATGAAGAGTCCAATCAGGAACTCATTTTTGTCAAGGGCTGAGTAGATTACGTCAAGGAGACTAATGATTGCATCGTTGGTGCTCTTTTGGGACCGGAAGCCAAACTGGCAGGGGCTGAGTATGTCGAATTTTATGAGGTAGGAATAGAGCTGTTTGTAAATAATTTTTAAAATATTTTTGATAGAATGGGTAGATTTGATATTGGTCTATAATTGTTTATGTCCGCCGGATTGCCTCCTTTATGGACTGGCGTTACTCTTGCTTTTTTGAGGATATCAGGGAAGGTGTGACACACTATAGATTTGTTGAACAGTATAGCTATGGGTGGGGCAAGGGCATGGGAGGCGCTCTTGTATACAATGGATGGAATTTCACTGGTGTTCCCTGCCTTGGTTTTTAGAGAGTGTATGATGGACACAACATCTGCCGGGCTGATTGGTGAAAGGAGAAGATAGTTTGGATAGCTGCCTGAGAGATATGTGTTAATATGTGTCTGAGTCTGTGGGATTTTACTGGCAAGATTAGCACCAACCGATGAAAAGAAACTATTAAATTCATTTGCCATTTCTAAATCAGTTGACGGTATATTCCCATCCTTGTAGAGTTTTATTTGGTTATGTGAGTGTTGTTTAGTTCCTAGGATACTAGAGATTGTTTCCAAGTGCTTTTCATGTTGCCTTTTGCTTCATTGAAACTATTCACATAATATGCAAGTTTTGCCTTTCTTATGATACTTGTAAGCATTGATGAGTACCTTTTAGCTACTTCCTTTGAAACTAGGCCAACCCTAAGTTTCTTTTCATATTCATGTTTCTTGTTGATTGAGTTGAAAATGCCACTTGTGAGCCATGGATCGTTTAATCTTTTGTCAATTACTTGCTTGGTAAGAAGGGGACAATGAAGGTTGTAGAGGCTTAGAGTTTTGGAGAGGAAGAGGTTAGCTAATGAATTTATATCCTGGGTATTATTGAATTCAGAATCAAAGTTAATATTGTGAAGTGCATTTGTAAGATTGCCTAAAGCTGATTCACTGTGTAGCCTAAATGAAAGTTTCTTGCATTTTGGTGGTGTTATGTCCCTGTTTGCTATGAGAAAGGTAGGATAGTGGTCAGTTGTTCTGTTGTAGATTATACCAGATACAAGGGGAGCTGTTATGTTTGTCCATACGTGATTCAAGGTAGTGGCTGATGTTTGAGTGACTCGGGTAGGTTTGGTGATTGTGGGGATTAGCATACAGGAGTTCATGCTGTTAAGGAAATAGTCAACTTGAGAGCAATTTTGTTGACCCAGGTCAATATTAAAGTCTCCTTTCAGAATGATGTGGTTTTTGTTGAGATTGTTGTTGATAATAAGATTCCTTAGGTTATCTGAGAAAGAAGCTATGTTAGTATTGGGAAATCTATAGATGGCTCCAATAGTCAAGGAGGATTTAAGGGATTTAATTGTAAACTGAGCAAAAGTATATTCACAGTAGTCATCTCTGTCACTAATGACACTGTTGCAGATAAATGTATCTCGGTAATATATAGCTGTGCCACCATATAGCTCACCATAATATATAGCTGTGCCACCATATAGCTGTGTATTTACATACCGTATTTTTCTTATCAATTTTCATTCCTCCTTTTTTAATTTTCTTAATTTTTCATATACAGTATATAAAAAGTAGGGAGTACCAACTCTGACTGGAAGAAGGGAATCTTTAGCCTCAGAGAAAAAGCACACATAATGCATTAGAGGGGATTTTTAGGTCCTCTCCAATACAATTTTCTGTGTTCTTCCTCTTTTAATATCTATGCCTTTTTATAATATCTATGAGGGATTACAGAATATAAGTCAAGAGCTAGCAAAAAGTTCATCAAATATCCTCATCAAACAGGATTGTTAGTCATACATTGGATGTAAGTGTAGTCTACTAGCCTGCACTAGGGATATTATGATGAGAATAGCTTCTAACATCTGTGAGTGAATGAAATTTATCTGAATTTCTGTGCATTGTGTTGAGCAGAGGAGATCCATGCCGAGCTGTGCTACGCTGAGTGCCTCCTGCTGCGGGCTGTTCTCACCTTCATGGAGGATGAGACCCTTATCAGTTTCCTGAAGGGTGGCATGAAGATCAGAGCCTGTTACCAGTCTTACAAGTATGTGTGATCCACCTGCTTCAGTGGACCATCTACATCATTTTATACTGTGATTTAATTGCCTCAACTTTAATACAACTTAAAAAATTATAGCTAATTATTATACTGCATACTGTATTTATCTAATGTTTAAATTTCTAATTATAATATTAATAATAAGTATTATTATAATTCTATCCACATTCCATATTTATAACTTTTAATTTCTTTAATTCATCAATGTTCTTTCTGATTGTCTCGTGTATAAGAGGGATGCCCCTTAACTCCTCGTCTGCTTCAAACTGTGGGTGTGGGTGTTGGGATGTTATCTCATCATTCTAGTGTGAACAGTGAATCTTTCATATAGAATAGGGTAGCAGCACATCGCTCTGTATACCTAGGCTTGTTAACAAAAAAAGTGACATAAATATTTAGTGTTTTCATCAAATTTATCGTCAGGTACAACCAAGAGGTTCCAGGATCAATTCCCATGGCAGGACAGAAGTGTTTGGGCAACTTTTTCCTGCACGTGATGCCTCTGTTCAGTACTTACATGCCTACAGTAAATACTGTAGGTACCTGGGAGATGCATATTGGGGAAAGTCAGTAGCTGCCTTAGAGTGATCTCAATCAGCATAACAGGCTTCCTGTCACTGATTTTATATTATGTATTTAAAAATAATAATAATGATAATCATTTTATTCATAAGAATGTTCATACAAAGAACATAAGATGGGGAACAATTGCAGGTACAAGGACTACACATAAAAATGAAGGCACTACTGTGCAGTATTTCGAGAAGAACTTAAAATAATTCAGATAAAAAATTATTTATAGGTATAATAGGGTAACCCGCTTAATACTAAAAGAGAAGTAAGCTAACGTATGTGAGAATGTTCAAGAAATATAACAGACTGATCTGATTTCCTGAATTGCTGCATTCAACACTCATTTGTAAATCTCATAATCTATGAGATTACTAGGGGGGACTTATACGTCTTTCAGAGCTGAATCTTAATTGAAAATCTGCCTTAATTATGTCGTACATCTGTTTCCTATGTTCTCTCCTTTATACTTTTTTTTTTTTAAGTTCAGTGATGACCATAGTGAAATCATTCTGCTATGTTTCAATGCTTTGCTTACCTATTAGCTTCTTCCAGGAGATATTTCTTGCAGCCCTCTTATTCTTTAATAATCCTCTCAAAAGTCCTGGACCTTTATAAATATTTCAAGGGTTGCATTCCATCTCAGGATATAAGAGTAACATCTTCGACTATGCTTTCGGCTGTAGTTAGAACAAGATCTAGAATGCTGTTATCTTGGGTTGGCTTTTCACATGATGTACTGTATTAGTAAGGAGTCCTGTATGAGTCCTGGTCTCCTGTTCATGATATTAGATTCACCCAGTCTATTGTCTCAAAGTAAAAGTTTGCCATTATAAAAATGTATGTCTGAGCTTGTATCACAGGCTTCTGACAGTTGTGTAGAGGCATTTTAAACACCTGATATTGATCCTAGTGGTCTAAGAGATTAGGCCTGCATTCTGTACAATATTATTCTGAATATCATCAGGCTGTAGAGTAAATAACACTCAAGATGTTGCATAATTACCTAAGTGTAGTTACAGAATGAGAGCCGTGCTCATGGTGTCCTGTCTTCCCAGCACTCTTTATCATATAACGATTTGAAATTACTAACGGTTTTGACCTCCAAGACCTTCTCACCTAACTCATTCCAGCCGTCTACCACTATGTTTGCAAACGTGAACTTTCTTATATTTCTTTGGCAGCTTTATTTTGTTAGTTTAAATCTGTGACCTCTTATTCTTGAAATTCCAGGTCTCAGGAATTCTTCCTTATTAATTTTATCAACTTCCATTACTATTTTGAACGTAATGATCATATTTCCCTTTTTCTTCTATCTTCTTGTTTTGGCATATATAATGCCTCTAACCTCTCCTCGTAGCTCTTGTCCTTCAGTTCTGGGAGCCATTTAGTTACATGTCTTTGCACTTTTTCCAGTTTGTTGATGTGCTTCTTAAGATATGGGCACCATATATCTGTTGCATATTCCAACTTTGGTCTAACAAAAGTCTTGACCATCCATATACTGTATTTCAAAGCAATTCTGAAATTAGATAGTGTAGCATAGGCTCCTTGCATGATGTTTTTCATGTGATCCTGTAGCATATAACCTTAAACATGCCTATGCAGTGAAAATATACTACACTGTACAAATGATAGTAGAAAACATAGTACGGTGGAACCTCGGTTAACGAATTTATTCCGTTCCGGCATTGAGCTCGTCATGTGAAACGCTCATCTTGCGAAACTAATTTAAAAGCACAACTAAATGCAGAGGGATGCTTATCCTGTGTGATAAAACAACAACACTGTCGTCAGATGCGTCCAAGAATTTGCGAGAACCAGCGGGAACACTAGGAAGCACCATGTGGTTTTTCTCGTTAACCGAGCGGAAGCTCATCAGTCGAGACAAATTTTCGCTCATTACCTGAAATGCTCATAGATGGGGCTGCTCATCACCCAAGGTTCCTCTGTACTATAGTAGTAAATATATTGCAATCACAGAAACATTGATGAATGTTGGCTTCAGTAAATCTTTAGTGAGATACAGTAAAAAAATTATGAGATATTATTTTTTAATTTTCACATACACATAGAACAATTATACATATGAAAGTTATTCCACACATGTTATTCTGGATCTCTAATTGACATTTCCTGGAACAGGGAATGCTGGTACATACTAGAAGGTCGTGACTGGAGTAAAGATTCTGACAAAATGCATTTCGAGTCCGGAGTACGGATGGGTGTAGGGGCCTTTAATCTTGTAAGTTTGTATTTCCATATACCTGTATTGTATAGTATACATAAATTTTTTTCTACATCTGAGTTTGATTTTTTCTGAATGCTCAAGTTATGTTGACATTAGAATCATTCTTAACTGTTTTTTTTAAGAGCTTTTAGTTTATGAAACTCACCATATTTGTATTATAATATATTATTATAATTGTTATAAATATATTCATATTTCAGATGATCTCACAGCTTCCACAGAAAATTCTTAAGCTGCTTGAGTTTGTTGGCTTCTCTGGGAACAAGGTACAGTATAGGCATCAGGTCATGTGTGCATGAGATCAAGTGCATTGTGAGATGAAATGGAATAATAAATAATGGTAGTAATACTGGTATATCTGATGAACATTGGCATATTTTACATCTTCTAAGCAGCTTAAACTTTAGCTTACACTAAATGTTTTTAGTTATTTTTACATCTTAAAGAAAAGTTATGACGCGGTTGAACGAGTCTGTTGGCTTTTGTATGCATATTGTATTGTATTATTTATAAGATTGGTTCATTTCCAGTCTTGTTGTAAATGTTTTTATAATATATACAGATGCATGGTCAATACTCCAGTGTGGATATTGATCATAGTTTTAATGTGATACTTTTCATAACTCAAAGTTGCTCATAATTGTGTGCCGTGTCCATTCCTTTGTAATTTTATAATATTTCTTTTCCTGTTTGTGTCATTCAGTCGTGTCAGGTAAGAGACCAGAAGGTAATAGCTTTTTTTATATCAATCTTTGCTGTCATATGTGTGTAGTTGGATATTTGTAGAACTTTCATTTTACAAGTTGGTAATAAATTATATTGCTCAAGTATTTGATAATTATTTTATGATTGCTTTAAGTGATGGTCAGCTACATATTGTAGCTTTTTAGTTATTATTAATTATCTTTGTTAATATGCCAATTAGCCTAAACTGTCATGCATGTACAGCAGTATGAGAGGTCATTGTAGCTAAATAATTATCACAGTTTATAAGCTACAGTACAGTACTTCAATTTGGCCATAGGCACATGCTAACAAAAGTGTTCTTCAATTTCACTTAAAATATGTAGATTACCACTTTCATTTCTTTTCGAGATTGCTGTCTCTGCCTCAGATAAGAGTTCTTACTAAATACTGTACATGCATCATGCATGATACAGTGGGTGAGATGCACATTACTCAGTCATATGGTTAAACATCCTTTGGTCTGGCTAGCAACTGGTTAGGTGGCCATGCAGACTTCCTCACACTTTCCTATGGAAGCCTCAGTGCACCAAACAGGCTTCCTGTCCCACAAGAATGGGGAACTATAAATCCAATTTAAACAAGCAGAAATCAATACAGTTATCATATTTTAAATGAAACTGACCAGTGTGACCAAAGTGTAAGATATAAAATTTAGTTTGCACAAAAAGAAGTAGGAAATTTATGACTGCAAATAAAGGCTTTTAGACTTATATTTCAAATTCATATTAAAGTATAACAACACTTTTCAAGTTACTTAACCACTGTGCTGCGCCGGCCGAGAAAACTCGTTTGCCTGAAAATGCGCCAGCCGACATATTTATTTATTTATTTATATACAAGAACGTACATTGTGGGTTAACAGAGAATATAGAAATAAAGCTGAATTTACATTCTTGTAAAGCCAGTAGCAGGCATAGCATTTCAGGCAAGTCCTTAAACTAACAGAATTGTTTTTTAGATAATTTAACAGTAAAATTGATAAAAAATGTTTACAGGTAATATATATATATATATATATATATATATATATATATATATATATATATATATATATATATATATATATATATATGTGTGTGTGTGTGTGTATATCACGAAAATAAACACGTGATTAAGAATGTGACAATGTCAGACCACGGAGGAAAAATGAAACAGGAAATTTCCTTAAGTACTTTCGTATATTAAATACATCTTCAGAAGGTCCAAAGGGACCTTCAGAAGGACCTTCTGAAGATGTATTTAATATACGAAAGTACTTAAGGAAATTTCCTGTTTCATTTTTCCTCCGTGGTCTGACATTGTCATATATATATATATATGTATATATATATATATATATATATATATATATATATATATATATATATATATATTTATATATATATATATATATATATATATATATATATATATATATATATATATATACACATACACAACTTTAGAACACTTTCCCACCAGGAGACTCGAACCCTAGCCAGCACAGAAGCCTTCCAGCAACTGGCATAACAGGTACGCCTTAACCCGCTCCACCACCTGCTCAGACCCTTAAAAGAGATGGTAATTTCGGAGTATTTATATACCCCAAAGATCACCACCTCCCAAGAGCACTAGAGCAAGTGAGGGGTCATTTATACGTTTATTTCATCAAGTCCCTGTTAATATGGGAGAACACTGTGCCTATGCTTAAGGCACAACTCTCCAGTTGCCAGCTATGCCAGTTGCTGGAAGGCTTCTGTGCTGGCTAGGGTTCGAGTCTCCTGGTGGGAAAGTGTTCTAAAGTTGTATACTTCACTCTCGTGTTTAGGAGAGTTGTGCCTTAAGCATAGACACAGTGTTCTCCCATATTAACAGGGACTTGATGAAATAAACGTATAAATGACCCCTCACTTGCTCTAGTGCTCTTGGGAGGTGGTGATCTTTGGGGTATATAAATACTCCGAAATTACCATCTCTTTTAAGGGTCTGAGCAGGTGGTGGAGCGGGTTAAGGCGTACCTGTTATGCCAGTTGCTGGAAGGCTTCTGTGCTGGCTAGGGTTCGAGTCTCCTGGTGGGAAAGTGTTCTAAAGTTGTATACTTCACTCTCGTGTTTAGGAGAGTTGTGCCTTAAGCATAGACACAGTGTTCTCCCATATTAACAGGGACTTGATGAAATAAACGTATAAATGACCCCTCACTTGCTCTAGTGCTCTTGGGAGGTGGTGATCTTTGGGGTATATAAATACTCCGAAATTACCATCTCTTTTAAGGGTCTGAGCAGGTGGTGGAGCGGGTTAAGGCATACCTGTTATGCCAGTTGCTGGAAGGCTTCTGTGCTGGCTAGGGTTCGAGTCTCCTGGTGGGAAAGTGTTCTAAAGTTGTATACTTCACTCTCGTGTTTAGGAGAGTTGTGCCTTATATATATATATATATATATATATATATATATATATATTTCATTGAATATGACCGCATATTCTGTATTTATTATTTTCTGGTTTAGGGCTTCTATCCCTCTAACTATTTTCTTAGCATCAGGGCTTAATTGAAATAGGAGTTCTCCAAAACTCATTTTCGTACTTTTAAGGTGAAGAAAAGAAGTGATTTACTATAGAGTGTATTACACTTATTTGTATAATTTGCACGACGTTTCGAACCTCCATGGTTCATTCTCAAGTGAACAGATCTTACAATACTAGTTGATTTTATACCCGCATTAGGTCAGGTGATAATACAATGAAGGTGAAAACATGGGGGGATACATAAGGGATAAACATAGGGGCTGCAGAAGGCTTATTGGCCCATACGAGGCATCTCCTATCTAAACACAAAGATTAATCCAGTGTAATTGGCCTGTTATGTTGGACATTGTCTTCTGTGTTGGCATCGATATGTTCTTGTCTTGTCCTTACTCTCATGGTGGGTAGAGTAAATAGTTCCGTGATTTGGGTGTTCATGGTAGGTCGCTCTATTCTTATGTGAATTGCCTCAAGAATTTGTAATCTTCTTGAATCTTGGGTTTTGTCTATTATGCAAGTATTCTTGTTCAACATTTCTCTTGTTAGAGTAATGTCATGGGCTTGTCTCATGTGATTCCTAGGGGCACCAGATTGAAGATGGCATGTCAAACGCCTCGTCAGCTTGGTCGACGTCATACCTATGTACTTACATTGAAGGTTACATCCTTCGTGGGGGCAAGTGTACATGTATACAACGCTTGACTGCTGTAGAGGGTTCTCCGTCGGCTTCGGGCTGTTTTTGATAAGGAGTTCGGAAGTCTTCTTGGTTTTGTAGAATATTATCAGGTTTATGTTTTGGTTAGGAGTAGTGCTTTTTACTCCTTTACGGATTATTTCTTTCATTATTCTTTCCTCTTTTATATGTTCACTGTGCATGGTTGATTTGTAATATAATTTTATTGGGGGTGTTGTGGTTTCTGTTCTAGGTTCTGAATTATACCAACGGTCCAAGTGTCTTCTTATAGCAGCGTTTATTTCCGCGTTGCTATATCCGTTGTTCACCAATACCTGAGTTACTCTTTCAAACTCTCTACTCACGTTGCTCCATTCCGAGCAGTGGGTAAGCGCTCGACGAATATAAGCATTGAGAACACTGGCTTTGTATCTTTGGGGGCACTCACTTCTACCGTTCAGGCATAATCCTATGTTGGTGGGCTTGGTATATACGTTGGTGCTTAAAGAGGTTCCTGTTTTTGTTATTAGTACATCCAAGAATGGCAGACTGTTATTTTCACTATTTTCATGTGTAAATCGGAGTACTGACTCTCTCTCTAGGTGTCTTTTTAGGTCAATTAGTTCATCTGAGTCTTTTACTATTACGAATATGTCATCTACATAACGGCAGTATACAGTTGGTTTTTGTCTGCTACTGAAGACCCTATCTTCGATGGTTCCCATATAAAAATTAGCAAATAAAACTCCTAAGGGGGAGCCCATTGCTACTCCGTCTATTTGTAAATACATGTCTCCTTGTGGACTGATGAAAGGGGCTTCCTTTGTACATGCTTCGAGAAGACTTTTCAAGTGTGGCTCAGGTATGTCTAATTTGGGGGTGCTCTCGTCTCTGTATACTCTGTCCAGTATCATTCCTATAGTTGTGTCGACTGGGACGTTGGTAAAAAGGGATTCAACATCCAGGGAAGCGATGATTCCATCGGGCTGGGTAGATTTGATCAATTCTAGGAAATCTGCTGATGATTGTAGACTAAACTTACTTGGAGTGTATGGAGTTAGGAGTTCATACTCCATACAGTAGAGAGTTTGAAAGAGTAACTCAGGTATTGGTGAACAACGGATATAGCAACGCGGAAATAAACGCTGCCATAAGAAGACACTTGGACCGTTGGTATAATTCAGAACCTAGAACAGAAACCACAACACCCCCAATAAAATTATATTACAAATCAACCATGCACAGCGAACATATAAAAGAGGAAAGAATAATGAATGAAATAATCCGTAAAGGAGTAAAAAGCACTACTCCTAACCAAAACATAAACCTGATAATATTCTACAAAACCAAGAAGACTTCCGAACTCTTTATCAAAAACAGCCCGAAGCCGACGGAGAACCCTCTACAGCAGTCAAGCGTTGTATACATGTACACTTGCCCCCACGAAGCATGTAACGTTCAATGTAAGTACATAGGTATGACGTCGACCAAGCTGACGAGGCGTTTGACATGCCATCTTCAATCTGGTGCCCCTAGGAATCACATGAGACAAGCCCATGACATTACTCTAACAAGAGAAATGTTGAACAAGAATACTTGCATAATAGACAAACCCCAAGATTCAAGAAGATTACAAATTCTTGAGGCAATTCACATATGAATAGAGCGACCTACCATGAACACCCAAATCACGGAACTATTTACTCTACCCACCATGAGAGTAAGGACAAGACAAGAACATATCGATGCCAACACAGAAGACAATGTCCAACATAACAGGCCAATTACACTGGATTAATCTTTGTGTT